CCTCTCCCTAACTCCATGATCCTTTCAATATCGAGATTGGGATGATTGAATGTTCAATGGAGTCAATTACATGAAAAAAATATATGACATAGGGTAAACTAGGCCGAGCCCCTCAATTCGCCCAATCAAGCAAATAAATCCCAATTTTAACTCCTTTAAACACCTATGGCAGCTGAAAATTCTTTATCGGGATTTAATCCGAGGATTAGGTTGGAGCTTACCACCACTTATTGAGAAGAATTTAGTAGGGTATAGAACTAGTTTGGTCCTGATTAACCTCCCAAAATTTAAACTCAATTGATAACAAACTGACTTGGCACAAACCATTTGGATTTTATATGGAAATTACTATGGAAAAGTCAAACTTTTTTTTTCATTGTCTTCTTGCCTTTTTTCATATTTAACTGTTGAAAAATTCTACAGTTATTCTTGAGGAAAAGTTTTTCAGCTACAATTTTGCAGCAAATTGTTTTTCAGCCAGACGTCAAATTAGGAAAGTTATTAATTGTTTAAGAGATTGATAATCTTATCCCATAATCAAGCAGCTGTTTTGTTGGCAACACTGTATTCTGCAGTGTGACATAGTAGCCATGATTTTTGTGCTCAATTCTACGTGCCAGAAACACCAGTATTCCCTGCTGAACAGTTGATTGAGCATAATCATAAGACATTAGTGACTTGAATCATTAATAAATTTGGTTCCTTACATTTAATCGAAAAGTGGTCTTGAACAAAGTTTTAACTGAGAAAATATCCTACAAGCAAAGTTTAATTTTGAATGCAAAGTGAAATGATGAATTTTGAGATAGATATGAACAAAAAATTAGGTTTTCCCATGGTAATTTCCATACAAACTTTTGTGTCCAGTCAGTTTCTTAATAAATTAGTTCAATTTTCAGGACCCAATTTGGAACTGTTGAGCACATTGGAACGTAAATTTCGAATTTTGCATCAGTCAAATATGCATACATCAAGCTGTGTAAGATGGCAGAGGAAATACAGCCCAACCTACAGTCCTTTCAAACGGACTCTATTCTTCGTGCACTCAAAAAATTCCTCACGTCATCATCATGTGGCTCACACTTAATTGAGCACTTATTTTGAAACAAATCCATTTCATGTATGAATCTTATGCTGTGAACCATGCCTCAACACTATTGGCTCGAATTGTGACCCAATTGGAGTCTATGTGCCTTACATGGTGATATCAATATATTTGCATATTTGAACATTATAATTCAATGTTCCATAATATTTTACTTTACCGACTCCAAAATTGAATCGACAAACATATAGACGAAGCTGCCAGAGGGCAAAGCTTACACATGCCTTTTTTAATGGGTTTGATTTGGGAATCGATTCTAGACTGTTGTGGTGTGCTGCTACCATTGTCTTCGTTCGATCTCACTGGGCCACGGTTGTTCTCATATATGAGGCTAGTTGATAAGGATGAAGCCACAACTCATGTTTTCGATGTTTACCTTGCAGAACAACCAATTCACATCGCATTGAAATGCAAACCACTTCAAATCCATCTGTTTTGAACAGTAGTGTGATTCAATGTGCAATACACTTAAATAGATAGAGAAAAATTGAACCATGGTGAAATACACTTCAAATAAATGGGATTGCGCAAATGAAAAACCAAGTGTTTAAACACTTCTTTCAGACGTGTGGACTTTTTTGAGTGTAGTTACGGTAAAGATGGGCGTGGCCGCAAATAGCAATAGTGATGCTTTTGGTATTCTTGTTAAGATTGTATCAATGCTTGCCTTCCAGCATTATTCCTTAAAGCAGTCTGACTTAGAATTTCAAAAGAGACGTGCGTGTCACTAGTATCCAATCTACGAATAATACTGTAACAACGCTAACGCTCGTAGTCAAATTTGTTTGCAGTGTTCAAAACAGATATTCTGCATGAGTTGCCCGATCTAAATCTCAAACATTTTCTTGATTTGTGTTCCGTCAATCTTGTTTTCCGTGCTAAGCACCAATGTTGCTGACGCCAGGGAGGCAAGCTCCCACACCTGGACCCTACCTATCGACCCATCAACTCATGAACCGGGGACCAACGGCTTTACTTCCCTTTACTTACCCCCCGAAGGAAGGCGTGATCAGAGATGTTATGCCTCAGAACATCCCGGCGGCGCCGTCTGGGATTGAACCCAGACCTGATGGGGTGAGAGATAATCATGCTTACCACTACACCAACGGCGCCGCTGAAATCTCAAACATATCTGATGTTGAGAAAATCGTGGGTTTGTGACAAACAAATGCATATTTTCAATCCGTTTCCCTTTTTGTTCACAGACTCTCTTTAACATCCTGGTGTAATTAACCATTTTGACAAGCTTCTGCATTCATGCAATGTGATTTGAGGCATCGCATGATGGCTTTTGGCCCAATTTCGAAATTGACCACTTCACCCCGGTAGTGAACTATGTGGTTCTAGAACCCTAGTTTAAATGACGTTGATATTTTGTTCAAATTCTAATGTGATTTGATGTGTCGCTTGATAGGTTTGACACGTTTCAGGTCACTTCTAATATTAATGCCCGTATTTAGCGAAACATATATCCGTAGCCGGTTGACCAATTCAAAAAAAAAAACAGAACGCCATAGACCCCTGTTTGTTAATTTATTTGATAAGGCTCAACCGAATTAACTTTACAGAGCCGAGGATTCTTGGTCACTATACAATACATCTTAAAACTATAGTCAAAAGGTACAACACAATAAACACTTTATCTTCCGCTATCCAAAAAGCCTCCTCCATCAGAACTGGAGCCGCTTCCAGTAGTTTCATTGTATGGCAAATTGTTGTACGCCAACGAGGGTCAGAGCGCGTCCATTGCAGCAATGGACGCAAAACGTGGTCAGCACTCACACACTCATCACGAAACGGTTGCTTTCCAAAGTCGACGACGCATCGACCGAAAGAACTGCTGATGAAGAACAATGAGGAGGACCACACAATGGTTGCTGCCGAGAAAACAGACGATCGCGTAGCACACATCGAGAGTGGCCTGTTTTTGTCGACAGCCGAATGAACACTGGCCATAGACCCCTATACCTTGCATTTGGCGTTTGTTGCGTCCAATTCGGTGCAGCGGTTGCTGAGAAATATTATGAACTCAATGTGCATCTTTGAACCAATAAATTCTATAAATAATAATAATAAAGTAAGAAAAATAGGCAAAATCTCAAAAGTAGAATTTTTTCTAACTGTATTATGACGGAAATTAGTCTTACTAGCCTTGTAGTACATTACACTAGATTTCAGCAATAGTCTCTTGTCCTAGATGTTCTTGTGAAGTTAAAAAAAAATACCGTCATTTTTTTATATTGTCAATTGTGCCAGAAAATGAATAATATTGTTATACTACTGACAAAACATTTGTGACAGCACAGGTTGATGAACGGAAAACCTGTTTAATTGACCTTTCTGGTTATGACAGGACCAGGAGCTAGCGATCCTCAAGTATTGCTCAGGTGAGCATGTTCAGTGTTCGATTCATTCATGCATGTTGGATGCAATCGTTCCAGAACCATTCACACTGATTATCCAGTCCAACCAGCTCCAGTGGGGTCACTGGAACGAGCTTGGCATGTATTGGAATCAACACAGAATTCTTTTAAATCGCACTTCGTAACAACGTTTGTATACATTTTCATTCTCTCTCTGTGTGTCTCTCTTTATTTTTACAGAGAGCCTACAGTGTGTTTCCGTTGTTCTCATTAAGTTTAATCACCTCTCACGATTCATCAGACCATCGAAGTGCATCGCGCATTAACCAATGCATGTCCGGCCCTCCCCTACACACCTCCCACACTAGATTAATGTGGTATCTCCACCACTATCACCAGCTGCGACCAAAGAATACATTGAACTGAGCAACAAACTTTGATTTGCAGAATACTCAAAACTCGACCAGTGTTTTGCACCAACAATTCGGCGGGCCAAAACAACAGTCCACAAGTCATAAGCCAAAAGTTTATCGCCACATAGCGCTTATCGACACGACTGAAACATGTGTCTGGACCTGGAGGAAGCAATACACTGTCGATACTCTCGGCAACGGATTGACTTTACTACCAACATCATTCAACGTATGATCCGAGATTCCATCCTATTGACGCACGTAAATAATAAATGCAATGCCAAGCGATTCGAGACGATAGCATTTTTTATTAGATGCGCTCAAATGCACCAGACTCTGACTACCCACACCACTATTGACTCTTGACTCGAATCTTTTCGCTAGCAGGGTCTGCATTCTTGATTTCTTTCAGTATAATAACCGTTTGATTGTTATATTGGCGTGCATGCGCGAGTATCTTGTAGGCAGCAAATATTTTTTTTTTTTCGAGAATAAGCTTGAAGTTGCGCGGTTAGATTCACAACGGGTCGATTTTCCATTACGTAAGACGAGTTATCATATTTCACTGAAATGACGTTTTTTTCCGGTGACTGTATTCGAGCCGTTGGAGTACAGAATTTGTTTTGAGCCTAAGCTATTGCTGATGTCGGGAAGCGCTCAAAGTCAGCAGGTCAAAACAAGAATCTCCCACTCGATGAGTAGCTATCGTACTTTGGTAGACAGATTTATTTTTAACCTTTTACTAATTTTCACTTATTTTTACTCCTATCTCATTTTTCGGCCATTCAAACCTCAAGGTTAGGTGTACTCCACTTTTGTTCCACCTAACTATTCTTCAATCCAAAGCCCGCCATCCCCATCAAGTATCACTGTTATCCATATCGACAGAATGCTAGTTCACTTGTGCAAATATTTAACTTCACTCACATTGTCGAGTCTTCTGCAACCAGTTTCAGAACGAAATTCGGTCAGAATACATTAGCACATTGGCAATGCACGGCTTATACAACACCGATTAAAAGTCGTACCGTCCTTTGAGACACTGTCTCTAAACTGAATGAAAACATTCACTAAACGAAATACGAAGGAATTAAGATATCCAACTCATATCACACTCACTAGAATCTCAGGAATAGTCCGCTCGATCGCCCAAATCTGCTCTCCTCCAATCCGGATCCAAAAAATAAAATCTTGGGGAAAATTTTCACGCACACTTTTCGCCGGACACACTTTCTTCTGTCTCTCGCCTCTCCGCAAAGCCAAGAGCGCAGCAAAGACAGACACGCGGCCGCTCGATTGAATTATCGCATCAGGACTGAGCCATAGGAAAATTTGAATTTCCAACCTGACCTCCCGTCAATATCGGCACTGGGAAGCAGAACAACGCGGACCTTTACATACGATTACGTTACACGCGTGCTCCTGTATGCTTCTTCCCGGTCAGCCACACGCTCAGCTGCTCACTTCCACCGATCTACTAGCTCGATCGGTTGTTGATACTCTGTAGGTACAAAACGACCTCTGCTCAACTGGACGGCGTGAGTAGCTTTGGGCTGTGGAGACGTTAAGCATCATGGAATGAATTATGCGCCCCGTGATTGGAACTGCGCGGTGCCGCGGAGAGGAGCCAACACATGGAAAACATTTGTAAACTCAAAGCCACATGTATGGCGCGGCTCTCGCGAAGAGAGATCCGATTACACTTGTAGAGCGTTGCCGGCGTGGACTTAGCCACTATTACAGACACATGCGCGGAATGTGGGGTATTATGGGCCCTTATTGATAATTTGAAATTATCTTGAGAACGTGTAACTGGCAACAAAGTTTTCGTAAATAGCATTTCGTAATAGGGGAAATGGATGTAATGTCGGTCTAAATTCCCCTAATTTGGGCCCATACATAAATTCAGCAATCGACTAAATTTTCAATAGCGACCAAAAATATCCAATAGTACCGACCTAATTACACGTTCATCTAGATAAAATTGATAAATAGCAGACTTTTAGCGATGGGCCCAATCTTAGATCCATAGGCCAACATTAGAGCCATTTCCCCTGTATGATTTATCAAAGGTGCCTATGCTTTCGTGCATTAGGGAATTGTTGGATAAAATGATCCTTCGGAGACTCGATCAATGGGTTGAATCAAATAATTTGCCATCAAATACACAATTTAAGTTTCGCAAGAGCAAAGTATGCGCTGCTTTCCACAGATATTCAACTGGTTTTTGCACACATGGACCAATTTGCTTCAGAATTCTTGAACATTCGTGGGGCTTTTGATTTTGTTTCCATTTAAATTTTGTCAGGCAATAGGCACAGTTGTGGACTTTTGGGAATTTTAAATAATTTCATGCACAATTTTTTGTCAGAAAACCAATCAACTTTTCTCTTGAGCAACTGACAACTTCAGTTCGCTTTCAGCTGTGGACGGACACAGCAGCATTTGTTCTCGGTGTCGATAGTGCTATCGGCAGTCTGTTTTTCGACCAAGCTATTGTGTGTTGCGCACATTGTTTATCCGCAGTTAGCTAGCCGTGTGTGGAATCCTGTGGATAGAATCAAGAATGAATGGAGTTGAAGTTAAAAACACCGTCAAATTTAGCTTTGGCGATGGAGCTAGAAAACCGTCGATGGGCGAAATTATTAATTTCGCGAAGACTCTGGATGCGGATCCTATGCTGATGGAAGCTATATACAGGGTAGCAGAGGAGAAATCCTTGTTTATTAAATTCAAGGTCTAAGAGGCAATGTGTCACACATTGATGAATAACAGTGAACAATTAACTTTCCGTTATGACGATGGAAAGGCAGTAGAGGTACACATGTTGAATGCGGATGAATACATTCAGTATGTCAGAGTGTACGATCTGCCTCCTGAAGTGCCTGACAAAAACCTAGCATTGGTGCTGGCGAAATACGGCAAGGTAAAACGTGTGGTTCGGGAGAAATTTCCTCCCGAAGTAGGTTTTGATATATACACTGGCATCTGCGGTGTATATATGGATGTTAAGAAGGAAATTCCTACATCACTGCATTTCCTCAACGTAAAGGAAACGTGTTCTATCCCGGGAACAAGAATGTGTGCTTTGTTTGCAAGATTGAGGGGCACCAGATGAATTCTTGCCCAAAGCGGAAACCTCGCAGGAAGCTCGAAAAACAACAAACGACGGATACGGAAAAACGTGACCCGGACGAAGCCCAAAGTGTTAGCAGCGTGGATACCTGTACATCCCAAGCAACACGGCTTGTCATAAAGAAGTTGAAAATACTTTGTAATGACTAACGCAAAGAATCACTAATACCTTAATATACATCATTTAATACATGTATACAACCTAAAAAGCGCAAGACGCGGAGCTTATACAACTGAATAATGGTCTTATAACATGTTTTGGAAACATCATAAAAACCAGCGACAAAAAAAAACCAATAAAAAAATCTTGAGCATGGGATTTGATCACTGGTCCTTGGCGTGGTAGACTTTTTTCTACCTAACTAGACCAACACCGCTTGATGAAAGGTTTGTTATAAGTATCTATCATGTTCTTGCCAATGGCATGAAAATTATTTTCTCGTTCAACACGCCTTCGATCCGTCATGAAGACGTTTTGTTAGTAGTAAAGCGTACATCTAATTGCCAGAATGTTATTTAAACGTATTTTCAACTCCTTATAAGACAACCTGCACATTTTCAGTTGTATTAATTTATGAGATGTCATAAAAAAGTATTTTCAACTTTCTTTATAACAAACCTCCGAATACCTCATAAGAAACTGTCAATCACTGCATGAAGAGACAGTCCGGCTCAATGGCACCGTCAATGTTTACGTCAATCTGGATTGATTTTGTATACGACAAGTTTTATGGGGGTATTAAAACAGTAAGATGCACGTTCAAATAACATTTAAAGATAAAAACAAAAGAAAACTATTTTAGAAAATGTTGAATCGAAGAAGTATGAAGAAAACATCTTTAAACCTCATATATAACGTAGGATGTTTTCTGCATCTCTTATAATACATTTATACAACAATCCGTTCTAATTCTTTTTCAAAAGATGTTTTATGTGTTACTTGGGATCATATGCGGGTGTTTTAGCCGGCGATGCTTCAGCGGATGCTATTGAGGTGTTCGATGAATAAGTTATGGCAATCGATGAGACGACCCCGGACATGGAAGAAGAACAAGAAGCAGCAAGAGGAAGTCAGCTCGAGACCGAAAGCCATCCATTGTTCTTGATCGCGAAGAAATTGAAAACTGCTATTGAAACACAGAAAACGGAAGAAAGAAGAAAACTGCGGCCGCGAGAGAAAGTTAACATCAAACAAACGGCTGCTAGGAAAAAATGAACTAATTTTATAAACTCTTTTATTTAAAATTACTGAAAAACTGTAAGAATCAGCTCAGTAAAGCTAACGCGTTTGAGCCTTACAAATAAATTAATGGATAAAAAAAACTGACAACTTCCAGAATTAATTACATCCCAAGCAACATTTTAAGTTTGAATGAAATACTGCAAAGCTACTATAAAACAACATTTATAAAACCCTGGTAAAGGCTGGTTTGCCATTGATGCAAACACCAAAACCTCATTAAGAGTAGAATCTGTCTAAAGGTCCACCCTGGGCAGGTTCTGTAGGGTGTATTCTCGAAGTATTCTCTTCAAGATTGATTTACTGAAAAAAGGTTATATGGTATGACAAACGCATTGAGAACCATCTGAAAACCATATTTGAGGTACAATAAAAGCTATTTGGCAACAATTAAAACCTTTTTTGAGCCATTTCCCTAGCCACTTACTAAATCCACTAGAAAACCATCAATCACGATAGAAAAGGAATCAGTACTGCGGACTCAATGTGCTTGTCACTTGGGAGCCAGTGTGAACTGTCAAACGGGAGCCAAACATTCAGAAGTAACAAATGCAGCTACTGTTCTTATGCACCGTCAAGCATTGTAATCTCATAAAAATGATCCATATTTTTTCATAAAACATTCTTAATTTTAAGCTCAGAGACAAAACCAGCAGTCTCTGTGATGAAAGTATAAAAACCAGCATAGTTTGTATGACTCAGCAGAATTTTCAATTGCAGTAAAACATACTTTGGCACAACATGTATGTGAACAAACTTTGATAGAGTCATGGGGGCTCGAGGCCTCCTGGCTCAGAGCTTTTGGCGTACCATTCGATCTTATCAAAATAAATAAAATGAAAACTGATCGTATAAAAATGCAGTCAAATTTCCAAAAAAGTTAAAATAGTTCCCATAAAGTGGCCTAATTCTAGGTGCCATATTAAATCTTATGTGAAATGTATGCGAAAACATCCGAAAAAAAATGAGTCCGCCCTCGAAAAACGTCGATTTTACTAATTATTTTGTTTTGAAAAAAAATAAAATATTCTTATGATCGATCATTAGGCTTAGCCGAGATTTTTTTATGATTAAGCATTTAAAATAAACCAAATAATTGTAATATGGCGGTGGCATAAAAGTTGATTTTCATGGGCTTTTGTGAAAAAGTTATTTTGCTTTCAAAAAATCCCTTACAAAATCAACATTCGGCTTTACACGGGAAAAAATCCGATTCCATTTTCATGAATAAAAAACCTGAAATCAAAAAAACTTGCCATCCCATGAAATCATAACAATGATTCATGATTTTGTTATGGAAATTCATGATTTCATAACGCAGTGGAATCATGATTTTTTTTCCTCTGTTCGGGACCTAACACTACTGCGACCAGTAAATTGATCTATTATAGTATATCCCGTGTCCTTAGTTTAGTGCATGTCGTATTACTCTATCACTATTGAGAAATGATGAAGTATTCGATTTTTTTTACAGTTGCCACTCTTGCATTTATCGCAAGGATCCGACTCTAATTGAAAGGTCCCGCTATTTATACCCTTCGGAGTGTTGAAACACCCTCCAAAGGCGCGCCCCTTTGTCAGTCAAAATTGAATTCCTTAGCAACAAAATTAAGGTATGACACCGATAATGACCATGCATCAGAACCCTAGTCTTAACCACTTCAAACTAGGGAACAACGAAGAGAAGATTAGGAATCACATAGATGAAGACAACTAACTCATTTTTTGCCTTGTTTCAAGATCATCCTCGGTAGACAAAGCCGAGTCTTGTCACTATCAACAAGGCATAAAAAGTAACAAGGACTAAGATGTGTTCCTTGAATTACTGAAAAATCCTGTTCCCCTAGTTTGAAGTAGTCAGGACTAGGAATCGGTGGTAGATCTTACATCCCGTAACGTACCACGAAAAGGTGATCTACCCACGTTACGGGGAATCATGATTGCTTCAAGCGTAACACCGGA